GGACTTTTCACTCACTTTTTGAACATATCGTGCGTTTGGCGTCGGCTTTGAGTTACAAATAATTGACTTTTAGTTGCGAAACGAAATCAATTGAATGACAACGAAGTGATGAATACTTGTTATAAACAGTAAAATGCTGTCAAAACGGGTATATATTTAACCGAAACGTCAATTCAATCGGTGAGTGAATGCATGCATTCATGTGGTGTTCACTGAGAGACACATTCATATAAAATGTGTTTATTTATGACAGGAGTGGAGGCATTCATACAGTAAGTTAGGTTAGGTTTGGTTAGGAACTGGCAATTCTAACAGTTAGAACATAGAATCTAACCTAGCACCTAATTTGTACAGAATGTGTAATGTTCCTGTCACCATAAAACCTAGATCAATTAAATAAAGTTATTATAGTGAAATGTTTGATTTTTCACACACATAGAATTCATTTAACTAGCAAATAATTGATAATAAAAACAAAACCGACCCAGTTTAAAACAATTATTTAATATTTTATTAATTGTTACATTTGGGAAATTCATTTCAAATGATACTTAACGCCAACACATGGATATCGAGGCGTAAATTAAACTCAAAAACAGTCACCTTCAACACTATTAAATAACATTGTACCTGGCTCAGAATACAAACAAATGTTACCGGTATTTAAAAAACAAACACTTCTTATAATTAGTAAATTGTATTTAAATTATAAAAAGAGATGATATCAATGGGAAAAATGAATGGTTTCAATGCTTTTGTTTACTTTTTTGGTTCACAAATAATACATAATTTAAATAAAATCAATGAATAATTTTCTATTTAATGATTTGATGCAAAGCTTTACAAAAAGGCACAAAAATTACTGGTATTTTGTTGTTGTAGTTGTTGTTCACGTTTTTATACAATTAATACAAACGACACGCCAATCGTGTGTCAATCAATTGGTCTCCTCGTCCGTCATATCGAGAAACTTGAGGAACACATCCCGAGAGCACTCGCCCTTCGAGTTAAACAAGAACTTGTAATAACTGCCGTCCGCGCAGATGGCTGTCCACACCAAACACACCATTAGATCAGTGAATTAATAACAAAAACTATGGGGCAATGAATGGAAAACAACGAACCGATCACAGAGTTTGGTTCCGCGCCGAAGGCACAAATACAATGAGCGCCGACCGGCACTTGGAAACGAGAGAAACTCCACTTTGAGCTGAAATATTTGGGTAAAAAGGAGGCCGACGCCAAACTGCCCGCCGATTCATAGAGAGATTTTGGACATAATTTTAAAGACATTTCGCCATCAATTTAATGGACAGAAGTTGACGCAAACCTCGACTGTTTGTTCTTTTTGCAGTCCTCGACGGCGAATATATGGATCGTCCCGTGATCTGAAGACACGCATAGCAGCGATGACTCCAAATTGAAGTTTATGCTGAGGTTGTGGACAC